TCTGCTCGTGTCCAGCCGTTGGTCACTAAATGTTGTACATATTCGGTATTTGTGTACATAGGGATAGGAACTTTTTTATTGAACTTTGCAAAGGGATACTCCTTTCCAGCATCAGCAACACGACGCCAGTGATGGAAAGTCGCGCCGTCTGTACGTGCTGGATTGGTAAATGGGGCCCATTTCCACGGTCTGACTTTCTTCATACCGAGTTTAGCTCGTACCTGCTTGTATCCTTTCGCGGTATCAGTTGGGAACAAAGGTGGTACATCGTTGTTGTCCTTACAAAGGAGGGCAAATACTTCACGGTGCATGCCTTCAGGACGTTTTGGCATTTTATTGTAATCATACCGCTTGCGATTTTTTTTATCGCTACCCAATATTGACTCTTTCGTAAGTTCCGTAGTCGGTACCTCAATATCCAGAATATCACGTACGTCTGCCATCGTGACAGCTACTATTTTCTCGTAAAGATACTCTTTTTAGAGTAATTTCACTGGCTGATAAATAATAATTGCCTTCAACCTTAAAGTTATATGACGATATAAAGAATACGAAAGAACTTTATGCGTTTAGAGGTTAAGTTCTAATTTAAGGTTACCTTGCTTGCTTTACTTGCTTTATCAGTATTATCACTCCTCTCAATATCGCCTACCCCTCGTAGAAAGGCTCCATCTATATGTCGTTGGAACATGTGGGCAAAGGGTACACTAGCGCACCAATGTCTATTTCAACGGAAAATTAGTCGCGCGTCGATAATAAAACAAATACATCGTGTTCGTGCCAGTATTTATTATTGATTAATTAATTATAATTATTAATTATATTAGAGACCGTCTTGTTCTGTTTCTCCGTATTTCGTTTAAAAAACGACGAATAAACTAGAATAAACCAGATTTTTGTCAAAATTGAGTTACCTAAGATCGATAAAGTAAATGGCATACTATTCTAATCGTACTAATCTCTTCAACAATTCAACAAAATTCAATACATTGCAATTACAAAAACTTTATTTATTATAAATTATCTTATGCTACTTAAGTAATATAAACAAATTGACATGCGACTGCTATGCCATCAAAGATAGCCAAATTTCCAACAAATTAATGTTATTTATTATCACATCAATCAGCTTGTTTGCCGAGTTTAGAATGCATAAATATGGCGCATATCATAAATATGGCCATAATGGTAATTTATTATATCAAGCGTTCATGCATGCTTTATAACAATTATATATTCATTAATAATTGTATACTTACATATACATACAATAGAAACTTCCTAGAGAATATGTCCGATGCGGATATAAAACGTTCAGAGCTAAGTTGAGTTTCCTATCCAAGTGCATTATTTACCATTTTATTTTATTTTTTTTAAATCATTTTATTCTGTTTATCGAATGTTAAACAAGAATAACGTGATATCCAAAAAGCATTTATATGGAAATCACACACTCCTGGAAGTTGATTGTATCAATATATCTTGAAATAAAGTGAAAATTACAAAAATGAGCAAATTCACTACGTGCATTAACAAATGAAATTATAAATATTTTAGTGAATTCTCACTTTTGCATTGTAATTTTTACCTCATTTCGAAATATAAGGTGCTCTGAAGACATGATATTTTTCAGACATAATGCCATAAAGATGTCCTTACATCTTATAAAACATCTTACAAATGTCTTTTTTGATACATGTAGTCATGGGAATCCAGACATATTTCTAAAATATTCTCAAAAAGACACTATAAAGACGTTTCTTGGAACGTACATATGTCTAAAAAATATATTTAAAAGACGTTATAAAGACATTGATTTTTTTACATTGTGTGTTGTCTGAATTGTATTGTTAAATATAAGTATATGCCGTTAGTTATTTAAACATTTTCACATTCATACCATAAATATATATACCATCATTATACGATAAATTTTATAGATTTACGTTATAAATATTAACTCATAAGAAAGATACATAAATTAGTTAATATATAAATTTTTATTGAGGTCGCATGATATCAATACTTTGAGGAGTTGTAACGTCAAGTAAATTTATAGTGTCAGGCGAGCGATAATTTGTAGAATGTGATGAGACAGATAATCCATGATTAACTAATCTCTTCTCTAAGTTAAGAAATTTGCAGCTGACGATATACCAGAAGCTTTGAATGACGTTTTTAACCAAGCCTGCAAATTTACATAATTTAATAATTCTTTGTATTATTATTCTTATTGAAAAATTCATTGTTTGCAAGTACTTACCACTTGTAACAAAAATACCACCCACAGTGGCACATAATTTCACTAAAAACTGAAAAACTGTATCACGTTCCTGTGTTACTTTAATCTTGAGTGCACTCATATCATATTTGAAGAAAATTCCAGGTATTCCATGAGATCCTTTATGATGATCAATTGGCCTCTGATGATCTTTAACACTATATTGGTATGTCTTAGATGTTGTTAATAATGTTCTAATATCAGTAGGGACAACTTCAACAAAATATTGATAAAGCATCATATCTGAAAGAAAACTTATCTATTAAATGTGAAAAATGTCACACTGGCTTGTTTCCGATAGCTTACAAAATAAAGCAAACTTACTGTTATCCGTGATCTTCTCATCACCTTCAAGAGGATGCACAATTCCTGGACTAGGTCCACCAAAAGAAAATCTATTGATTCTATGAGTGAAATTATAATCTCGATCCGTCATAAATGCAGAAATGTGTATATGACCATGCGGCACAGACAATGATCTTCCCGCAGTTATATGAAAATTACCGGCCACTTTATTAACATTTAGACTACCATGAAGACGACAAGCATTTGGTGCATAATCTGGTTCATATGATCTAAATAATATAAATACTTGTGTTTACAAATTGTAATACATCTACAATTTTCAACAAATATTACTAAATCAAATAATTAGGTTAGTTCACACATACCGCTCTGGCATTTCACTGTACAGAGTAACCTGATTGGACTTCCAAAGTAATTCATGAATAGCATGATATTCTTCCCGTAAATAAGAATTCATATGCTTCAAAGCCTCAAAATGTGTCCTTTGTTCTTGTGTTAATTCCCACCATGTATCCTCTTCAGTCAAAGAATTAAAATCTATCATATGTTGATTTGTAGAGTCCAAAATATCAGCACCAATACGACCACAAGGCATTGCTACTGTTACATCAATATTGATTTGTAGTTTTGCATCAATGTCAGTATCTGGCTCAAATTTGAATTGTAATCTACTATCAAGATAGTAACTTGTTTCGGCTATTACCAAATACATGATAATAAGAACTGTGAAAATTGAAACTGAAACAGGACCAGATTAGATCTATCAAAATAAGCAGAGTACAGTTTAGTACAATATATATTTGCATTAAAAATAACATAAGTATTAAGGAATATAGAAATATGTATATTACTTTTAATATAGAGTATTTAGTAATATCCATTAACTTACATGTTCCTCCAACTGCAGTTTTGTCAACATATACCTCAGGAACTTTCGGGAATGCGTCCAGTTCCTTAACTGTTTTAACATTAACGTGCCGTCGCCTCAACATTTTTACAACTTACTTGCAAATATTCGCAAATTATTGATTACAACTAACCTATAACAAGTATTTACTATGCTTAGAAAAAATTCAGAGCTATGTACAAGTCCGATGTTTACCTTTTGCACTGTGTTTATTATCATATTCACTACTCTCTAAATTTTAGTTAAATAAAAAAGGGCAGATTTTGTACATTTCTTAACATGTGAGCGTCACCGCGTATATACCATATGTACAATATTTGACATATCGCCTACACACGATATGAACATCCGAGACTAGCCAATAATGTCGCTACAAAAATATTACAGCGGCAATTTGCATATAGAAAGATGGCGCCACAATATACTTATACGCGACTTCATTCATCATTTAGACGTATATATTAAATACTTAAAAATATTAAACATTTTAAATTTACAGCATATTTTAGAAATTTGAACAGAGAATATTATAAGATTTAAATTATCTATAAATATAGGTCTGAACTAAATAATTGACAATATTTATGTTTTTCAACAAAAATGCTAAAACTCGTCACAAATTCAAAAATAAATTTCTATAAACTCACTTCAGAAACCTCTGAAAAACAATAGTTTATGTTACAATTACAAAACTTCATTATTTCTCACGTTATGCAAAGAAAGGTTTAAGATTTAAGGAACAAATAAATAAATTTGCATTCTAACAGTACTCGATCAAAGAGAAAACCAGACGTATAAACAAATTTGTGGCCCTGATAAGGGCCGTTGATCTTGAGAGCAACCATTTACTTCGAGCTGGTGTATTTGGTAACAGCCTTGGTGCCTTCACTCACAGCGTGTTTCGCCAGTTCTCCGGGCAGCAAAAGCCTAACAGCAGTTTGGATTTCCCGAGAGGTGATCGTCGAGCGTTTGTTGTAATGTGCCAAACGCGATGCTTCAGCAGCGATACGCTCGAAAACATCGTTGACAAATGAGTTCATTATACTCATAGCTTTGCTCGAGATTCCAGTGTCAGGATGAACTTGCTTCAGTACTTTATAGATGTAAATGGCATAGCTCTCCTTCCTCTTCCTTTTCTTCTTCTTATCAGTTTTACTGATGTTCTTCTGAGCCTTACCGGCCTTCTTCACAGCTTTACCGCTCGCCTTTGGTGGCATGATTCTTCAAGTCTTCGAACAGCGCCGTGCAAGCAATCGCTAAGACGGAACTACGAAAAGTGACGGTCGCTGAGCCAGCGCTGTTCTATATATACGGTAAAGCGTCAGTAGTGGCGCACCAATCGCGTGACGCGCACAGCCAACCGTCACGGGCTCGACACCCGATTGGACGCGAGTAGCTATCGCAATATGGTATAAATACTCGCCGCAGTCGAGTGAACGGCACTTCGAGTGGAGCTGTCGTACACTTCGTATCTACATAACCTCTCGTTCTTCGTTAACTGCAACCATGTCTGGCCGTGGTAAAGGTGGAAAGGCTAAAGGAAAGGCGAAGTCTCGCTCTAACCGTGCTGGATTACAATTTCCCGTTGGTCGTATTCATCGACTTTTGCGAAAAGGAAATTACGCCGAACGCGTCGGTGCCGGTGCTCCGGTCTACCTGGCTGCGGTGATGGAATACCTCGCCGCTGAAGTGTTGGAATTGGCGGGAAACGCCGCTCGTGACAACAAGAAGACCAGAATTATTCCTAGACACTTACAACTTGCCATTCGTAATGACGAGGAATTGAACAAGCTTCTGTCTGGTGTTACCATCGCTCAGGGTGGCGTACTGCCTAACATTCAAGCAGTCTTGCTGCCAAAGAAAACCGAGAAGAAAGCATAACTCCAGCGATTATAAACGGCCCTTTTTAGGGCCATCAATTTCTTCATGTACGAAGAATGTCTCGTTTGCTATTTTATTATCTATATGCCTCTGCTAATCATTTAATTCTCGTCAATTTCCAACTAGTTACAAAAGTATTTATGTTATGTCCTTTCAATAATTTAATCTCAACTATTGCATTGGTAATAAACCAAATAAAATGCACAAAGTAGTTTAGAATGATTCACTTCTATTTACTCAAATGTTAAAATTAAGCACTACACAATTTAAAATGTACTAAATATATTTTATACTGTACTAGATTCCGAGTTACGCACATCATAATTACAAAGATGATTTACATTTTACATCATAAAGTACAAGAAACTATTTTAATACAACAAAGTTATTTAATTTACAAATGTATATACATACGTGAAATTATTCCCTTAATACATGATAAACATTAAATGTAATATTATTTAGGGATATTTAATGATAACTAAAAAATATATTACCATTATACACATAATGTGAATTATATAATTACTTTTTATAAATCGTCGTTCAATATAGTCACATAATGTATTTTCTCGCATTTATCTATTTTCGTCTCCCCATTGACTATCTTATAACATGTATTTCACACATTTTTTTTCAGTTTTAGAGTAAAATGCAAAGCAATGTCAGTATTGTCACAATTTTGTTTTATTCTACAAATGTACAGGGTGATCAGTGGGAATGAGTTGAAACTGAATAGTTATTACTGTGAGTTATTACTTTGCAACAAGTAAATTGAACGAAATGAATAAAATGTGAAGAAAACTTGTCAACTTTGCTACAATATATATATATATATACATATATATATTACATAATATATAAACATAAATTGATTGTAAAAAATGGGTGACATACCATTATATGTAACAATAGGATATCTATGAAGAAAATTATGTATGGATTTTGCATGAATAATGTTCAATATGTGTCTAACTTTTATTGTATTAGCATTGATTGGTCATGGAAGTACAAGCTTCTACTATATAAGAGAATGCAAGAGCATATACTTTGAATATACCATATTTATATGATAAATTTTTTTAAATATGTAATTCAAAGTATATATTTATTCATTTGTAGACCGATAATCCTATATTTGGAATCACCATTTTTTATTTTGTAAATTACTCGATTATTATGAAAATTGAACTATTGGTCTTACATAAAGTTATTTTGTTAAAAAGCTCCTGTCTTCAAAAGAATAAAGGATTAAAAATATAAATTTATAACGTTATCTCTATTTTGTAGATAGTTGAATAGTTTAAGACTTTAACATACTCTTACTAATTGAACCATTAGATTTGGAATTTTGAAGCTAATTGCAAATGCAATTAATAAAGATATAATCATACGGCTATTAAAGAAACATTTGCGCCTACAATTGTACACACATTTATGTATCCTACATTTATATATGTGTGGATTTTTATCACTAATAAATCTCTCATATATAATTTAATAAAACATAGATTTATTATAGAAATATATTGAAAAAGTTTTACTGAAATGGGAAGTCGTTAACCGTATGATGTAATTTTAATAATTTAAGCAAAAGTTGTAATTTCTGCAAACTAATAATTTTATAAATAAAACGGTAAATTAATGTTAGAACTATATGAATCAATGAAATAAGAACAGGGAAGATAAAAAAAGATAGAAAATAGTGCCACACCTCAACATTATTTATTATATTTCAGTCTTATTTATTAACGTATTTTAATCTCGGTAATCTTTTTTAATTTCCTTCATTTATACTTAATATTAAAATTCTCAGAATTACGAGATATTAGTAATAAGAACATGAAAGCACATAAAGTTTAAACGAGACACAACGGAAATGCTGATTCAAATCAAAGAGGTGTTCGCATCAGAATGCCTATGATCATGTATAGATAAAAATGTGTTGTACGACTATTGAAAATGTTTCTTCTTTCAAAATTATTCAATACCATGCCACCTCGACTCTTTCCACGGAAACATCAACTAACAGTTATACAACTAAAAAATATTCGTAAGTAATCGTTATAATTTGTGGATAAAAGGAAATGTTAAAAAAACAGCTTTTTTTGTCTAAAATTCTAAATCATTGCAAGTAAAAAAAATTTTTTTTAGATTTGGACTTATTGTATAATATACAACAAAATTAATGAAGTTTGTAGAGTACTTGAGAAACAAATTTCGAAAATAGAACACGAACAAGGAGTTATCCAATATTCGATAAACACATTATGTTCTTGTTCAACTTTCTCATAGAAGCTTACGCTTACCAAATTCGATCACGAAATTCATACAATTTATGAAAACTCACAAAGTTAAATAGCGTATAAAACATATTTACAATATTTTTATGTAGAATTAAATAGGAAATCCAAAGTTTCTGTTATACAAAGGAATAATCACATGAATTTATATTCTAAAAATATTCGAACTAGAAGAATGCCAAACGTATGAACAAATTTGTGGCCCTGATAAGGGCCGTTGATCTTGAAAGCAACCATTTACTTCGAGCTGGTGTATTTGGTGACAGCCTTGGTGCCTTCACTCACAGCGTGCTTCGCCAGTTCTCCAGGCAGCAAAAGTCTAACAGCAGTTTGGATCTCCCGAGAGGTGATCGTCGAGCGTTTGTTGTAATGTGCCAAACGCGATGCTTCAGCAGCGATACGCTCGAAAACATCGTTGACAAATGAGTTCATTATACTCATAGCTTTGCTCGAGATTCCAGTGTCAGGATGAACTTGCTTCAGTACTTTATAGATGTAAATGGCATAGCTCTCCTTCCTCTTCCTTTTCTTCTTCTTATCGGTTTTGCTGATGTTCTTCTGAGCCTTTCCGGCCTTCTTCACAGCTTTACCACTCGCTTTCGGTGGCATGATTCTTCAAGTTTTCGTTTAGCGCCGTACAAGCAACCGCCAAGACGGAACTTCAAAAAGTAGCGGTTGGAGAGCCAGCGCTGCTATATATACGGTAAAGCGTCAGTGGTGGCGCACCAATCGCGTGACGCAACACAACCTACCGCCGCGCGCACGACATCTGATTGGACGCGCTTAGCCACCGCAATTTGGTATAAGTAGGCGCAGAGTGCGGATCGGGACAACACTACGAGTTGAGACGTGAAACGTTTCGTATCTTAGTAATTTCATACTTTTTCGCTTATTACAACCATGTCTGGCCGTGGTAAAGGTGGAAAGGCTAAAGGAAAGGCGAAGTCTCGCTCTAACCGTGCTGGATTGCAATTTCCCGTTGGTCGTATTCATCGACTTTTGCGGAAAGGAAATTACGCCGAACGCGTCGGTGCCGGTGCTCCGGTCTATCTGGCTGCGGTGATGGAATACCTCGCTGCTGAAGTGTTGGAATTGGCGGGAAACGCCGCTCGTGACAACAAGAAAACCAGAATAATTCCTAGGCACTTACAACTTGCCATCCGCAATGACGAGGAATTGAACAAGCTTCTGTCTGGTGTTACCATCGCTCAGGGTGGCGTACTGCCTAACATTCAAGCAGTCTTGCTACCAAAGAAAACCGAGAAGAAAGCATAACTCCAGCGATTACAAACGGCCCTTTTTAGGGCCACTAATTTTTTCATACGAAGAAATATCTCGTTTGCAATTTTACTGTTACTTATACTTTATAGTTTATACTTATATTGCTTTTAATTCTTATGCACTTCTAACTAGTCAACATAAATTATATTTAAAATATTCGTATTTTCCTTCTATCATTAATTTTAGATAATGAACATTAATAAAAATGCGCCTAATTTGTAAGCGCACAAAGTATTATCTGAAAATGAACATTATTTATTTAGATCTTAAAATTAAGAATTGGAATTTAAAATATATTAAATGTATTGTAAACTACATTGAACTTCGAAAGATTATAAAAATCTTTTCAAATGCGTCATAATGTTATAAATAAAGGAATAGAGCAATCTTTTATTAACTTAAATCTCTCATCATTGCAAATCATATGTTCGCATTAAATCAAGAATTTACTAAAAAAAGGAAAGCATAACTTAAAAAAATTTTAATCTTATAATATTGAGCTTATCTATTAAACTCATTTAATTGTAAGTAAACACTTCGTTTTCAATAATTTTATTTAATTTAACCCATTTGACGAAAATCGAAACTAATATAATATCAGTATTATAATTTTGTATTCCATAATATATGAAATATAACATGTAGTGTTACATTGTGAAGTAAGAAATTATAACATAATTTATACAGGCAGAGATCGCTTGGAATAATGAGGGAAGTCCACGGCGTATGGCGGTTGACCATCTTCGCTGACCCAAGCTGCTCCATTTTTACCCTTCTGGATGAGATCTAGCATTGCAAGTGCCACATGATCGATTGTCTGTATTGGATATTTACTATCGTTAGCGTTACCTATCACAGCGAGAACGGAGTCACAGATCTTACTGTTAATATTTGCTACCAACGCTGTTACTGTAACGCACATGATAACAATTCGCACTCCCGTTTTATCGTACATATTTGCCAAAGACTGGCTGAATCCCAGAACAGCAAATTTCGAAGCGCAATACATTGGCGTAATGTAAAATGGATGTAACGCAGCTATGGATGCAATATTCACTATTACACCGCCCTTGCCACCTTTATGCTTTCCCATATAGTCAAATGCTAACATAGAGCCGCGAATTAATGCCTTAACATTGAGATCGATTGTTTCCTCCCAAAAGCTATCGTTTAAAATACCAGCGTTATTGATAAGAATATCAAGCCCTTGAAATGCATCGACGATCTTCTTGAACGTCTTCTCTAAATCGTTAGCCTTCGTCACGTCGCAAGCGAAGAAGACAGCCCGGCCCTCTCCAAATTCATTTTCCAAAGTAGCCGCTGCATTCTGGCCGTTTGATGTTGGCAGGTCGACTACAACATTTTTTGCACCATTGTAAATAGGGTGGCCAACTTTTGAATAGTTGATTTCGGGATGTGAACCTTAAAATTTCGGGACACAAGGTTATAAGTAATAAAAAAGAGAGGGAAAGAAAGAAAAAAATTACAAAACGTTACGAAGGCACCTTGTAATATATAACGCAATACGTGATCCCTTTATTAACTATCATTCAATAAATAAAATATATATATTATTAAATTTATTCTTAT